ATGGCATACTGTTAATAATAATAGCATTTTAAATATATATATTTGGGCCTTTTCTCTTCACTGGAATTCAGTGGGGGCAAATTCCATTAATATTTAACTGCCATAGATGTGGTTATATGGAAGTGCTTGGGGCATCATAAACTCAATTACAGGTGACTTAACATTTGCATCCTGTAATCTGAGTTAGCTCATGCAACCTCTCTGAGCGTCAGTTGCCTCATCTGTAAAATGAATTAATTGTGTGTGCAGAATACAATGTTTTCTTATTGAATGTAAAATGTCTCTTAAATGGGGACATATTTAAATAGATGCTGATCACACAGACCTTCACTGACTCTAGCAATACATCAGAATAAAATTTAAAATATGAAAGCAGAATAAGGTTTGAAGCATGCAAATGGCATCCTCTAGAAACACCTTTTCACCTAACGTTTGAATGCTAAAAATGAAGACCTTCTGATAGGGCTCCCAATGAAACAGTCACTCAAGCTCAGTGACAACCAACAATATATTTCCTAAAACCCTCATTTCCTTCCCTTGGTTCCACTTCTATCTTCTCTGCTTTCCCTTGCCTGAAAACTATCACCAACAAATCCAGCTCCTAGCACAGTGCTTGTCACATGGTGGGTATTCAACACATAGCTGTTACATTAAAAAAGCATCAAAGAGATTATATTTTGAACTTTACTTAATCCACTTAGCAAATTATATATTTAATCTAGAATAGGAGTTAGATTGTTTACCATAGTGTTGACAATAGACTATAAACTATCCCTGCCCCTGCAACTTTACCAAAAATAATATATTAAATAGGAATGACAATTCATTTTTTGTTTCATCCCTTTATTCATTTACATACAAAGTGTACTGGAAATATTTTTGCTTTATTAAAAACAAATCTACTAAAGGGCAGAGATAGTACAAATTTATACCAGATATGAACCCTTAAACTGCTCATTTCACCGTATCAATAATCTAGCTTTACTATTTTTCTATTTTAATTATAGGTTTCAAATTTAAAACTGCTTTTAACCTATACATATAAATATATAATAATTGCTGGTGAAAACACTGATTTTGTAGCTTGGTTCCTCTTTTACGTGAGTGCTTATTTCAAGTTTGCTATAGTCACCATGGAAATATTCTCTATCGCTAGATTGGAGGTTATGATCACTCTCATTTAACAAGTACTTTTCCTTTTTTTTTTGAGTTGGAGTCTTACTCTGTCGCCCAGGCTGGAGTGCAGTGGCATACTCACGGCCACCACAGAGTCGACCCACTGGGCTCCAGTGACCCTTCCACCTTGGCCATCAAGTAGCTGGAACTACAGGCGCGTGCTACCACTCCCGGCTAATTTTCTAGTTATTGTAGAGACGAGGTCTTGCCAAACTGCCCGGGTTGGTCTCAAACTTGAGGGTTCAGGCAATCCACTCACCTCAGCCTCCCAAAGTGCTGGGATTACAGGCTGAGCCACCGAGCCTGGCAACAAGTACTTTTCAAACCTCTATTCTGTGCCAAGACCATGTTAGGCAGTCATTACTTTCATGACCTCTGTTTTAAATGCTATTTTAGATTTTCCAAAAGACACATTACTTTCCATCAAACCATCAAATAAAGACAGCTTTTGTTTTACTAGCTGGATTCAGGGGCTGAGCATTAGATGCTGTAAAATCACAGTTTGATGTCCAGGGTCCTGATTAACGACATATCTTAGCAAATGTATGACAGCCAGGCATTGTGGGTAAATATAGCCTAACTGGATGGTTAAGCATCCTGGCTGTGGAACCAGAAAGACCTGGTGGTGAATCTCAGCTCTGCCACTTACTGATTACATTATCTTGGATAACCTGCTTAACTTCTCTGAGGCTCAGTTTGCATGTTTGTTAAAGGAGAAACTAATAAGAGTACATATCTGATAGCATTGTAGTGATTAGGTGAGATGATGTGTGTAAAGCAAAAAGATTAGGGCTGGCAATTACTAATTCTTCAATAAACTGGCTATTAATAGGAAGACTTACTAATTAGCTATTAATAGGAAGAAAAAATGATGACAGTGATGGTAGAAGTATTGACTGGATCAAGGAACTTCCTTTACTTGGCTAAATTATCTAAAATGGATAGAAGAAACACTTGTAGTTGTAGTTGGTAGTTCATTCCTTCCTCATTCTCTTCCTTCATTTGAGACAGGGTCTTGCTCTGTCACCTAAGTTGGAGTGCAGTGGTGTGATCATAGCTCCACTGCAGCCTCTAACTCCTGGGCTCAAGTGATTCTTCTGCCTCATCTCTCAAGTAGGGGGACTATAGGCACACACCACCATGACTGCCATAGTTTTTCCATACTTTTGTTTACAGGGTGTCAAGCAAAAATGTTTCAAGATTAAGTTATTTAAAATACTTTAGACCATTGCTTTGCTAAACTCTGGTGTGTCCATGTGGCTCTCTGAGCTACAACTGCCATGTTTCTTAGCTTTGGCTCCCTCCTCTACCTTGGGGAGAGGAATCTCTTATTTCTTCTCACTTCTGTCTCTTTAATATACTTTTACAGCTGGGCTCGGTGGTTCAACCTGTAATCCCAGCACTTTGGGAGGCTGAGGTGAGTGGATGGCCTGAGTCCGTGGGTTCAAGACCCGCCTGGGCAACTTGGCGAGACCTCATCTCTACAGTAAATCAAAAATTAGCCGGGCGTGGTAGCGCGCACCTGTAGTTTCAGCTACTTGGAAGGCTGAGGCAGAAGGATCGCCGGAGCCTGTTGGGAGCCGGCCGTGGAGGCCTGCCTGAGCGTTAGGGATCCAGGCAGGCTGCGGACCCTGAGACCGCCAGGCTGTTCAGGAGCTGAAGGTCCATTCCCTCCTCCTTTCCTTGCTGTTTAGCATTACCCACTGGTAGGGATTTTAACGATCTAAGCATGAAGTTCTGAGAATATGACAGGCATGGCTGACTCTAGGGATCCATTGTTCCCGCTTCTCACAGACTGCGGTTTCGGCTTTAAACTTAACACAGTTCAAACTCAGATCACATTTGGGAGCCTTATACGTGATACAAGCTTCTTTATAAGATTTAAAAATATATTTGTAGAATTAGTATATACATTTAGAGAGCTGTTTCCAGCATGAGATGGTTATCTAGGGTAACGAACTTTGGGCTGGGCCACATCCCTAAGGGCCCAGCGTCCATTTGGGGCTGGGCTGCATTCTTTTAATACGGTTATTTAGTTACAATTAGTGTAAGTTTTTTCTACTTATAATAGAAACTGAATTCATAGAAAGTATTTTAGAATAGGTCATGCTACATCAGGGAATTATGTTAGTCCAAGCATGATCAAACATGATACTATAAGGTTTTATAAGAATACAGCTAACTTTTGAAATTTCATTGTTCCCACCTTCTACTAATTGTGATTTTGGCTTTAGTACAATTACAGTTTGTGTCTGGGTTTTATTTTAGAAGCTTTATTGCTGATGATCAGCCTTATATATCCGGATTAGGAATTAGAAACTTTTATAGAAATTAAGATAGATACATAGGATTTTAGAATAGCCATTTTGTTAAGAGATCATAATCAATTGTTCCGGAGATGGCCCAGCGTGATCTTTGGACTGGGCCACATTCTTTAGGAACTGGTCTGACCTATAATTAAGAGTTTTTTATAGTACAGGTAAAGTAAGCACAGAATAGAAAGGTATTAGGATTTAAGTCAGTCATTAGGTGTTGGGTATGCATAAGTTTTAGAAGTTATTGATTATTAGGATTTTATGATATTAAAACTGTTGTATTGCTTTTGAGGAACATAAACCAAGCATAAGGAACAGTGAGATAATTTTGGGATTGTCTTTCCTCATGCTTGGGGGAAAATGCCTGGTGGGCGGGACATGCGCGCGTGCGCGCGCGCGCACACACACACACACACACACACACACACACACACACACACACACCCCGCTTTGTGTTCATGTAAAACTCTTGTGATTTGATTGGGGTTGTCCTTCCTCATTCCTAAGGAAATGCCTGGTGGGTGGGGGACGCCCCTCACTTACCTGGCTTTGTGCTCATGTGAAAGTCTTATGATTTGACATGTGAAAATTTGGGATAAAAGACTCACGTTTGTTCCCAATAAACGGCTTCTGTTCATTTCACTGAACAGTTGTCCACTTTCTTTCTTTCTCTTTATATCTATCCCTCCATCTTTCTTTCAATATTTATCGCTGCTATAGAATTGACTTCTGCACTAGACAGAGTCCAGTCTCTTTCTTTCTCTTTATTTCTCCAGAATATTCGCCGACGCTGCCCCACCTTCCAGGGACCCTCTAAATCTCTTTTGGGGGGCTGGCTCCCCATAGGAGCCCAGCAGGTTGAGGATGCGGTGGCCGGGAGTGGCCACTGCACTCCAGTCTGGGTGACAGAGTGAGACTCCAACTCAAAAAAAAAAAAAAAAAATTTATATATATATATACCTTTAAAATTATATTAAATCAAATACTTTAGACACCAATTAACCCATTTCAGAAATTAAAATAAACATATACTTTAATATTTTTTATATGTGCTTAGTTCCTGTGAAACTTTAGGGTCATAACATCCAATAACTGTAACAGAATATTCTATAGATACAAAAGTTTCAGAAAAGTTTTACTAAGCACTGAACAAACTTTAAGTATTTATTTAATTAAATGCCAAACTTACCTTGTTTCTTTCTCTGAAAAGTACAGTGCTAACAAAACTCTAGTTAATTCAAAATGTCTGACAGTTGGGTTCTGAAGTTGTTTTGTTTTGAGAAAGCAGGATTTATTAAGAGGACAGAAAAGCTTCCACAGTGGGAGGGGACCCGAGGGGTTGCCTGGGTTCTGAAGTTTTATTGTTGCATAATAAGTATAATTTTGTTTATTAACTGTGTGGAATATAAAATTTACCAAATCTAAAAATTGCTAATTCATACAACAAATTAAAAAGAGTCTCTAGTGAATTAAATAACTTACAGTTATATTTCTAAGAATTTTACTTACAATGGCCACAGGGTCATTGCTGCGGGTTGCGGCCAAGCTGAACTTCTTCACATGAGTGTTAGTCTCCAGAGCCTTTGCAAATTCCTTCAGGGTTGGAATTGGAATGTTCTAAGAGAAGACATAGCTAGATGGTGAACCATTCTATAGCATACCCATGCCAACTTAAGAACCCACAACTTTTAAATACCATGTATATTTAGGTGGCTAATTACATGATACACCTTCTAAAAGAGGTTCATTATCCATCCTTCTGCAACCAAGGTATCCTGAGCCAATACCACCACTTAGTGTCTCATGGGGAATCTAACACAATGGTATTTCTGACATAGTTCTGCTTTCCCTAACCAAGAAATTACACACATAGTATACTCCCCTTTTTTTTTCTTTTATCCTCTATATTCCAGCCAGACTGACCTACTTGCTATTCTTTTCATATACCATGGTCTTTCTCTAATCCATGCCATTATATATGCTTCCCTTTGCCTGGAAATTCCTTTTCTCTTTTCTTTTCTGATTAATTCCTACTCATCTTTCAAGACACAGCTAAAATATCACCTCCTTTGTTTATTGGCTCTCCTAGGCAGCATTAACATTTTTCTCCCCTGCAGTTCTATAACATTTGGATGCTCACCACATTGTTATAACTATTTGCTTAGAGTTTTTCTTCTAACATAACTTTTTCAGAGTAAAGACTGAAGAAATATTACTCATCTATGCACTCCCTCTTCTAGAGCACTTAGCACAGTGCTGACCACTGGGGAGGGAGGCTATCTGGAATGCAGCTAGAGGCGGACAAGAGTCCTGGCCATATTACAGAATAGGTCTGTGATCTTAGCAATTTAACCTCTTTAAGTCCTACTAAGGATTAAATTAGATAATCAATTTCAAGTATCTATCAAAGCATATTATTAAACCCTAGGAGTTAGCCCAATAAGAATGAACAAAGCAGACCCCAGGCGATGTTTAAACACACACACATGCACACACATACATGTAAACTCTTCCTCTCCTTTCGAGAGTGGCATGACTTATTATCAAAGAGAATAAAGTGGAAGTGACAATGAGTGACTTCAGAGATGAAGTCATAAAAGGCATATGACTTTTTTCTTGCTCTTTTCTTTCTCTCTTGGATCACTTGCTCTGGGGGACGTCATTTGTCCTGATGAGAGGACACTCAGGCAGCCCTATGGAGAGGCCCACACGGTGAGACACTGAGGCCTCTTGCCAACAGTCACATGAGTAGGCCGTCTTGGAAGCAGAGCCTCCTGCCCACGTCAAGCCTGACCTTACAGTCTTGGATGACAACTCCATGACAGCTTCATTGGAGGCCCTGAGCTACAAGTGCCTAGCTAACTACTCCTAGATTTCTGACACTCAAAAATTGGGTGATATTGGGCATAAGGCCAGGAACAACAGACACTGGGAACTCCTGAAGGTGGAAGGGGGAAAGGGTGGTAAAAGCATTCATTTGGCACTATGCCCACAATGTGAATGTGGGCTCAATAGAAGCCCAGACCTCACCATCATGCAATATATCTATATAACAAACCTGCATGAGTACCCCTTGAATCCAAAAATTTTTTTAAATTGTGTAAAATAATAAATATTTGTTGTTTGTAGCCTCTAAGTTTTGGAGTAATAGATATAACTAGTGTCCTATGCTTAATTCAAGTATGGTGACTCTTTTCAAAGAATTCTAGACATTATTCTTTTTTTTTTTAAACCTATTTCTTCTTCTGAATAGGTTATCTTGACTCAAACTTAGTGCCTACAAAGGATTGCAAACGGGTGTGAAAGCAAGCCATCATTCATATCTGGTAAGTTTTCTGACCTCATGATAAATCAATGACTGACAATAATCACAATCATAATAAAGTACCTTAATGTTGTTGAGGTTAACTTCCTGCAGGCTGGGATCGTTGGCTTTCATCTGCTGCAGACTTATTTCCACATTTGTGGGATTGGGTGGTTCCTCAAATATTGGCTTGACCTTTTCACCTTTGACCACATCTAAAGCACGAATTTTAATTTTAAAAAAATGCAAGGACTTCTCTATCAACATCAGAGATGACTTTCCAAAATGACATTTCTTTCATAAACTCTGATTTCAATCATACTCTAATATCAATAATAGTAAGCTTATTCTCAGCTAAGCAAGCTTGAGAGTGCTGTAGCTCTGAGTCACAGTTTGGAAGGTTGGTGTTTCTCAACCACAATGAGAAGTCTCAGGGGCTGTTTCTGCATGGACCCAAAAGGTCAGGAGGCCCTCCAGCAAACTCCAACCCAAGTGTTCATGGGCAGGTACTGATGTTCCACATGGACCTCTTTCAGACTCTAACAACCAGACTCTGGGATCTGAGTCACAAAAATGAATCCCTTCATTTCCCAAAACGTTAAGTAAGTCCCCTCAGGCCTCCTGATTATGCCCTACCCTCTGCGTACATCTATTTTGGAGCTTTCGTTTAGTTTTGAAACTTTGAGGGTATGGGAAGAGAAAGGGATGAAAAAGTAGAATAAGAGAATTCTCAAAAGCAGTTAACAAAATATTTGGAATATATGTAACATACAACGGGTTAATATCCCAACATATACAGAGCTTCTACAAGTCAATAAGGTGACCCAATTAAAAATGAACAATACTCTCAGAAGAATCTGTCATTCAACCAAATTAAAAGCAATTAAACTACAAAATTAAAAAATGAGGTACCATTTCATTAGCAAGAAAATTTAAAAAGAGATAACATTCAGAGTTGGCAACAATGTAGAGGAAAAAGCTTCATAAAGTCACAGATTCCACATCAACTTACTTCTTACAGGCCCTTTGCCACCTTTATTATTGGCTGTTTCTTCATCAAACTTTGGGTTGTTGAGCAAATTGTGTACTCCAAGGACAGCTAAAAACAGACAATCAATGAATGAGCACTAAGTTTGGGGAAGCACACTAGGATGTTCACATTATTAATTTGTCCCTTGAAGTACAAATCTTTATGTTATAAAAATACATCATAAAATGTATTTTTAAGATCATTTTATGACATAAAAAATTCTTTATGGCCTAAAAATGACTCTTTCCTTGCACAGTGTATGGGACATGTATAGTGTAAAAACCTCTCCTTCCAAGGTTACCAGCATCTTCACGTCTAAACTTGGAAATCATTTAGTATCTGAGGAAAGACAGCCTAGTTGTATCCACATTTTACTGAAAAACTGCTTAGACCTCCTCCTAGTTAAGTAGACTCACTCCTTCAATTTTCTCATCTGTGAAATGAGAAGGTGGGACTGAGTCTAAAGATTTTTAAGATATTTGCATATATTTTTTCCAGAGGCAAATATAGTAAGATTGGTGGGCCTTTTTCAGTGTAAGCCTCCCTATCTCAGTACCAAAAGGAGCTGTCCTTTCCCCGTTTAAAGCATCCCAAGGTAGGAAATAAAAGCTACATCAGCATTAAAAGGTCAGGTAAGCATAGTATTGAGATTTTTAGGTTCCTGTATTACATAAAACTTGCACCAGGAGGCAGCACAGCACGCAGGAAACAACACTGGGAGAGACTGAACGCTGAGCAATGGAAACTGCAACTGTCCACACAGATTTCCCTTTACTAATGAAATTACAGGTGAGATTGGCCACCTGGAGAAGGATCCCAGAAGAGATAATAATCTGTCGACAGGTGAAAGAGGAGCACCTCTGAGATTCCCATCAGCCACACGTTAGAAGGATGGAAGCAGTCAGCACAGTGCCAGAAAAGGGAACGTGTTACAGCCAGCAAACAGAGGGGTAAGGGGGATCTGAGAGCAGTCAGAGCTTGAATCCTGACTCTGTCACATGCTAACTGTGACTTGGGAAGTTGCTAAATGCCCAAGTCTCAGTTTCCTCATCTGTAAAATAGGTAATAATAATCATACTTTACTTATCATAAATATTAAATGACTTCCTATGCATCAGGCACTATTCCATGTGCTTTACAAATTCTTATTAAATAACTAAGAATTTGTCACTGTGTCTCTGGCACTGTCCAGGGAAAAGGTGTCCTGTTCAATAAACACTGAAACTGCAGAACAAATACATCTTCCTCTGGCCCCATGCTCACCGAGCAACTTTTTAAAAAAATATTTTATTAAAGATGTGGGGTAGGCCAGGCTTGATGGCTCAGCATGTAATCCCAGCACTTTGGGAGGCTGAGGCGAGTGGATTGCCTGAGCCTGCGGGTTCGAGACAAGCCCCGGCAACGTGGCAAGACTTCATCTCTACACTAAATTAAAATTAGCCGGGCGTGGTAGCACGTGCCTGTAGTTCCAGCTACTTGGAAGGCTGAGGTGGAAGGATAACTGGAGCCCAGTAGGTTGACACTGGGGTGGCGGTGAGCATGCCACTGCACTCCAACCAGAGCAAGTGAAACTCCAACTAAAAAAAAAAAAAGGTGTGGGGTACAATTCAGGATTAGGTATAAAAATGTTCATTATGCAGGTACCCTTGTTGATGAGGTGTGCCCCCTGGCAGTTTTCTACTATTGCCAATCTCTTTTTTTTTTTTTTTTTTT